AAAAACTATCAGTAAAGTGTCTTAAAGACCACTGGAAGTGACAAAAGATGTGGGCAGCTGTTCCTCTGACACATGGGTTTCCAGGGCTGGAGTATGTGTGGGCCACACTGTTTGGCCAAACAACAAGCAGAAAACAATGTAAACGGCAATTTTTACAAAAACATAGCTTGTAAGAATGTGTAATGGGTTACAGAAAAACTGACGAAGATAAATCTAAAATGTCTGCAGTTGACTGGTTTATAAGACTCCCAATGTGACTGGCACAGTCTGGAGAGCAGGTGGAGAAAACTAGCTGGAAATTCATCTTCATTTCTTTATTTTCCTTTTGCAGATCTCTAAATTAATTAAGTCTCAAAATCTTAATTTCAAATTTTTTCCTAAGAAAGCACCTTCATAACCCTGTGCCAGAACACAAAAGACCTTGCCACACACTCTGCAGGAATTTCACCAAAAATTTAACATGGGCATGCTCTTGAAGAAGAGGTCGGCTTTTAAAAATAAAACAAGACTGCCTCCAAGGGGAGTGTGATATCTTGTTAATTGAAAGGTTAAAGCCACTTAGCCCTGTTACTATTTCAATAAATGAGTGTCAACATGTGTAAATAGGTGAATATTTGATACAACTAATGCCGCTTTCGGTAAAACTATATGTAGTACTATAATGTGCTTTAAATGTTCTTCAGCTTTAGACAACAGAATAAATGCCAGCAGATTTGAGAAAATAATATATAAAATAAACAATTCAGATTTAGATTCTGTGACAAGATGTGTGAAAAATTTGGAGAATGTTAAAAAGGTGAGAAGCACTAATTCCACGTATCACAACCAACTCATTCCTGCACACTCTGACAAATTCAAAAATAGTTTCAGAAATTGAAATAACTTCAAGAAAAAAGTCAACTAATGTATTCTACCCCTCCAGCATGACATGCAACAAAGCTCAAATTGTAATCATTCTTCTCTGTTACTAACTATATTACACAACCAAGTGGAAAAAAAATTTGGAAGATGCAAAAATAGTTCTGGAGCCTACTGGCAAGTTTGTTATAATTTTAGCTAGCAGGATGTTATGATAGGGCACCGTAACACTCCGCTATGGGACTGCCTGAGTACAGAGCAGGGGGACCATGTGCCGCAGCTCTGGCACCAATCAGAAGGTCTTCTCTGGAGGTCACGGAAACAAAACAAGGCAGAGAGCCGACAGTTCTCACTTTGTGGATTTACCAAACACATAAGTAGGTGAATACTGATCACTTAGCTTAATTGCAGAAAAAAGTGATTGTTTATTGTTTTAAGATAACAAATACAATCGTTCAATTCTTAACAATTATTAAAAAAGTGTGTTACTTAAATGGTTATTTGGCCTCTTTGCTGCAAGTTTGTCCAGAACTGGAACCATTTTATAGAGGTCATACACATATCTAAACTCTTGCTCATTCACTCTCATTCTCTGTGGTAACTAAGTTATCATGTTGTTAGACAATGACCATTCAATTTAGAACCAACAACTCTTCAAATTCACATATTCTCATCACTGTTTACGTATCCACCTATGGAAAAAGTTGCAGCACACTCTGTAAACATGGAGACCTGTCCCTACCTGTTGCGCTAGCTGCTTTCTTTACCAATCAAGTTACCCTGGTAGGTGTCTGAGATTATGTTTCTTGTCGTGTAAAGTGGCACAAGTCAACAGAGACCAGAAAAACTTGCTTTGCTTGTATTGCACTTAGCAGGTGAAAAAAATGACTCAGTTTGGATTATTCATTTCTCCATTGCCCTGCCCAATTGACCAACTTGAAACATAGACCTTGAATTAGGAAAGCAGCAAAAAATGTGATGCCATTTTTACATTTCGATTCCCACTTAAGTCCTAAAATAAACCTGCTACCAGAAACCCTAGTGAACCTGTGATTGGAAAATTTAATTGGTTTTGTTTTCAGCAGCTATTTAGAGCTGCTTCACATTGCGATAGGTATGGTTTAAATGAAAAAAGGTTTTTCTTTGTCAAGGAGCATGGCTTTGTGATCCATTTTCTCTGCAGGTACTCCTGCTGCCCTGTTAAAGAGCACAAGCTGGAGGCACTGGACCAAATTGGTGTAAATCGTGCAGAACAATTACTGATAATCTGTGCCATCTCACTTTTAGTGGCCATGAGTCAATCCCTGCACACCACCATACTCATGTAATCTTAATAGTTCACTCATGAATTGACAGCTCGCTTTTTGTCTGTACTCTAACTCCTCAAGAACAATCAATTGAGCCAATTTGTTCTTTTTATGATTTACATCTCTTTCTGGCAGACACGTTTCATGAAGAACAGAGGTCTGCCTAATACATCCCAGCCACCTTAAATATACTGAATAGATTCTTGTTGTCCTTTCTGTCAGAGTTTGAGAGTTTGTAAACTTTGAAAATTGGCGCATAAAAAAGATGCTCTAGCTGCCAACAGCACTGCTGCTGCCATCTAGTGACAACACATGAAATGAATAGCAAAGAAATAGTTACAGAATAGGTATATATCAAACAGGAATATCACTTCTACAATGTGATAAGAAAAAATATTTACTAAAAAATGTTTGACTCTGGGAGAAGCAGTAGTGTAAAATGAAACTAAAATTCAAAGTTAACAACATTTTGCACTTCTATAACAATGTTTACAAACAGAGATCAATAAAAATCAACTCACTTTTGTTGTACTGGAATCAAAATTGATATCCTTCAAAACTGGATCCACAAACTGCACTCCTGAAGGACTGTAAAACACTAGAAATCCTGGCTCACCCTGTAAAATAAACTTTCTACAATAACTGATTTGTATGTACTCTGCATGAAAATGAAGATGCGTGATCCATTTCATTCATAAGAAAAAATCGGTGAATATTTAAAAATATTTCTTTAGAAATAAATTTCTAATACAAATGTTGCAGAAAAAAAAAACAACTGGTATCATAAATACACATCTGAGCAGACAACCATCATGTAAGACCGCTCACGTATGTCCCTCACTCCATCTGCTGCTTTCAGGGCCTATGGCTTCCGTTAAATCTGATTCTTTACTTTTATTGCTTTTTACTTTATAGGTTTCCCCAGGCAAGTGGGGGTAAACTGACCAACTGGCCCTTTGCTGCAGGTCTGTCCAGTGTGGGTCTGTCCATTAGGTCACACATTTCACACCCCTCGCTGACCAGGTGTTAAAACCACTGTTACATATAGATATTGCATCACAAAAGGAAGAATCAATAAAGGAATTATTTCTTTGTTTTAAGCAATTTTAAAATCTTGACTTGTTTATCATTTAATACTGCTGAGTTTTATTCTGTCCCTTGTAAATAAAGACATGGAAATGATGACTAAAGGAGCATCTCAATTGTGTAGATTTTTATGCATATTCAATCATTTATTTCAAATTGCAATTGGCATGGTTGTAATTTTGGAAAAGATGTGCAATCATAATTATTGAAAAGCAATCAATAGTATAGCCTCTGTCTCCAATACACGTTGTCTAACTATCATCCATGCAAAACCAAGCAGAAACAGTTCAAACACAGCGCTTCATAGCAGGAGGTGGGTCGGTAAAAAAGCTGGAAGAATTTCACCGTTTCAGCTATATACTAATTAACCTTATATATTTTAGTGTCAAAGAGAGGTCTCGAGGAAATCAATAGTGACTTACAGAGGTTTAAGATAGTGGATTTTCACTTTACAGTACCAAGGAATGGGGTGGAGCACAGTGACACTGTCTGACATCTCAGTCAGCTTCCTCCCCCACTGTTCATTCACAGAGAATGCATGGAGCTGTTGGTATTCTCACAAACTATGCCGTAGTACAGAGAGAGGGACTGCAGGATCAATAGAGAGTCAGTAAGTCAGAAAATATTCTAACACCAAGGGGGGTATGCTAAAGCTATGATCCCTATGAGAAAATCTATATTTTCTTATTTTTGTGAATGTGATAAAAAATAAGCAAATAAATATATCCTAATGTATGTACCTCACAAAAGTAAAAACATACAACATGAAAATCATGTGTCACTAAGAAAAATTATTTGTAAATAACTGCTACATCCCAAAATAATATTTTCAACAATTTTTTTTTTTTTTTTTTTTTGACAAAACTTCCTGACTAGATGGATTGTATTTCCATTACAGGCGCTCTGTTTTGTTTTAAAAAGCAAAGTCATGAGGAAAAAATTCAACCTAATACCATTTCCTGTTACACCTAGTTCATTCTTCAAAAATCTTCAGTGTTTTTTCTAATCATTGATCTTCCATACACGATGTAAAAATAACTCCATGGAGTTGATCGGGCATAAGGCTTCCGGTGCCCAACTGACCCTGTGTATTGTGATTGTATGGTAATCTCTCAGCCAAGACATGACCATGGAATCTGTTTTACTGTTCATAAGTTTACTTAGCAAATTTCACCCATTCAGAATTGAACATTTCATTATAGTTTCAGCCTTGAGGCTTTTATTTTATCAGTATAGAAACTGGGTACAGTGGCACATGTGTCTTAGTATGGTGGAAGTTAAGTACAGACAGAAGATATTTAGGATGTTGATATACTTTGACCTGAATACCGCACAGCAATACAAACTGATTTTTTTTTTCAATTATGGTGGTGACATCCATGATGATAATAATAGGGGAGGGGGGAAAGAGAAGGCTCAAATTAAGCACATATTTTCTTAACCTAGGGGTGATTTAAAAGAGATGCACTCTTTGATCTTTCGTGAACTTTTTGACCAGCATTCTGCTTGCTTCAACATTCCATAGGACTTTGCATGTGCGTCCCCATGTTAACCAGGCAGCTTCTTCAGAGCACCACAGAATGTCACAAACTAAATCTCAACAAAATCAACCATGCACTCTTTAAAACATTTTCCCCAGTTTACACTTCACAGAAAAGCAAAAATAACTTTGTAGTTATACCTCCCCCTCAAAACAGAGGCTTTGTGGAGGTTTTATTCAAAGTTTTTCAGATTATTTTATCAAATCAGTCAAGCAAGCTCTAGTACGGTCTGCAGAGTAGAGAAATGTGACATTTTGCACGTTTTGTATTGATGTAGTGTTGGGCCATGCTGCCAGGAAATCAGGCAGAAAAACAAAGCATGGGGCAATCAATAGTTCACCCTCTCTACTTGGTGCTGCTACAATTTTTTTCTCTTTTTTTCTTAAATTTATTTGTGCTTTTTAATAATTTGTGTTAAATTTATGTTATGACTTAAACAGTAAATTTCATGTTTAAATAATTTCAGTTTAGATCTCCAAATTTAGGCCATGCCTTACAGTTCATATGTTATCAAGCAAAGTGAACACTGCAATCACATCTAGCAAATATTTTACTTCTTACACAAAAATCATTTCAATTATCGTGTTCAATATCACAGATAATTACTCAAATCCTTAACTTAAAGTGTTGTTTTTTTATATTACTTGAAATAAGCATAAAATCAGCCACTCACCTGTTCCTGTATATACTGAAGTAAAGTCTCCTGTATATTAGGATCTGCTATTGTATTGTAGACAGTAATACTGTTCAGGTTTATACCTGGTAAAGTAAAACAATTTGGATTAAAATTTTGACAGAATCTTTCAAAATATAAAAATTATTTAAAAAGACCTTAAATGAAATGTCCATAACTAAAAAGTAACCTCTGTAAAAAAAGAAAAATGTATGTAAAAACTGCAGTTGCTGCTAAGAAAAAATATTTTGCAGTATTTATCTATAAAATTCTGCAATAAAAAACTGTTTCAATCTTTTTTATCCTTGTGCTTTTCTGCAAAATATTTCATGTATTCACTTCCTAATCACTGTTCCATTGACAACTTTCCAACTAATGTCAACACAGCTTTGCTAAAAGACTTCAATTTTTTCAACCTTTGTGCTTTTCTGCATATATTTTATATATCTACTCTTTGAAATCACTGTTCCATTGAAAACTTTCCAAGTAATGCCAATGCAGCTTTGCTAATGAAAAAAGTAAATATATTGCAAACCATACAGTTTCATAAACATCCACAGGGCTACACTAAGAAAAATTCCAACCTTCCTTTCCTTCATTCAAAGGCTTTTTAACACCTACCTCTTAAGCTATCTTGTTGTAATGTTTAAAAAAACTGTCTTGTTCTTAAATGTTTGAAAATAAACAGTCCTTTCCAGCTACTGTAGTTTCCCCTAAGCTCTGACTGCACGCCAAGCCACGTACATCTAAAGTGACAAGTTCACAACCAAGTCCGATACTTAAAGTCTGGACTGCCATTGGTGGTTAGTCAGACAAAAGCGTATTGGTCAAAATTATATAATTAACTAGAGAGTGAGGTGGAAGAGAATTAATTTCATTGGGTAACAACCTGTTGAGTCATTACGACCAATACACGCAGCCCTTGACGCAAGACAACTTTGCATAAAGGAAAAAATAACTGGAACCTTTCACTGCACTGGACATATTGATCTCTAAGTTAAGTCATTTGATTATGTACCCAATTCTAATTGGTATCAATTTTTAATTTTCATAGTGTTGCACTCTGAGGTCTTTACACAATTGCAACAGGTAAGGAAAAGGTGAACGACGTGAGGAAAAGTTAATTAAATGGGCAAAATGAATTTATATATTGATTTCACAGGTAAATATTTGTGCCTATTTACAAATTGCAGTAATTGAACAGTAATTATCACGTAAATGCTTTTAGCATTACTTTACAACTTTTCCATTGATCAGGGTCCAGACAACTTGCATAACCTTTCACTCCATTATAAAATACAAATTGTAAAAGATCACTGATTATAAAAATATTTGTTTATTCAAAGTACAAAATCCATAAAAAATTAAGTAGATTGGACAAACAGTAATGAGAAAAGCATAAACATGGAAGAGGAATGGCTATCTCTATAAATGCATAAAGTGATTAAATTCAACAGTTTTATATTTATAAAACTTTATTTTTTTACTTCTTATCAAAAATATCTGCAGATTTAACTTTGTAAAAAGAAAGGTTTTTTCCATTATTTTCAAGCTGTCCCAGCAGATGTTCTGTCGCCATATGTGATAGAAGAGAAATTCTTGGGAGAGTCAAGTCACTAGAGCTCATGACTTTAGACTGAAACTTGGTCCAAGCTTTTAGACTAAACTTTAGTCTACTTTGACCCGAGATACCCAGGGGTCCTCCACTTGAATGAAATGTTGCACCCAAGTTATAACAAGATATTTTCAACCAATAATTATTCTGTTTTATTGGCTACATGTTTATCCAAAATTGAACTAATATGTAAAAGAAAAAGGGCTTTTTTTTATTAGAATATATTACTAATGGTTTTCAGTAACATACATATTTGCATCACAAAATTATGGCCAAACCTGTAGAATTTTCATATATATATATATATATATATATATATGAAAAAGTCACCCTTACATAATATCTATGTATATAATCTTTCTGATCAAGTACAACTTAGGTTCATTAAACACAAAAAATCAATAAAGAACAGTCAAGGGTATGTATTGCCAACTATGACATAATTCACAACCATGTAAGACTGGATTACCTTCTCCCCTTGCTTTATGAGCCCTCTTTTAATGAGGTACAATAAGGTGTCCAAATTGTCTGAATATCTATTTTTTTTTTTTTCTCTGTTGAATTGATAAAAAAATTTGGACTTAAGAATCAAATAGTAAACCCTCTACACAAATAGGTCCAGAAATTCTTATAAATTAATTTCAGAGGAGATTACAATGATCTCTATATTAGGCAGAGAGATGGGTGGAATTCTTAATTTTAACAGTAACTGCTTAAAAGTCTGAAGTATGTGCGTCATTGGGTGATGCAAGATTAAATCACAGAAGTAATCACTTACAAAATCTTATCTAATTGAAGGCAATACATTGATGTGTAATCTACTATTTATGTCTGACAGCAAGAGCCATGAACTTAAATAACAATAATTAAAACTGTACACCGATTTGCTTTGCTTTGGGGATGCAAAAAATGCAAAGCATTAAAGATAAAAAGGAAAGATTTCATTCTTCAACCATTTATTCTATTCCTTTGTAATAACAATATTGAAATTAATTAATTCCCACAAATGAAGTGCCAGTAAAGTGAATTATGATGCTTTCATTAGTGCATGAACACAAATTGAAAGATCCCCAATGTTTTTCAGTTTTTTTATAACTTCTATTGATCTTAACAAGAACTTTTCTTTACAAAATTATTCAGTCTACTTTAGTATAGTCTTAACAAAAGAATGTTTTGATTTATGTGTGAATTATAAAAAAGATTAATAGATATTGGCACATTTTCAAGTGCCTTGTTTATATTGACCATTTTTTCACCACATCTATTGATAATGGATTGCGGAACTGCCTTCTCCTTCTTTTTCATCTTTGAAAAGTAACATAGACTTCAAACTTTGAATTACAGCTAAAACAAGATGCTTTCAATTTTCTTCATTTTCATCAAGACAGAAAAGTCTATTAAGAGCCATTATTTGACCTGATGCTATTGACTTCTGTCATTGATCCCTTCACCTGGATCAACACCAGTGCAGTCTACAATACTGGAGAATTAACAGAGGTCAATACTAAAACAAAGAGCACACAACAAACTGGGCACTTTTACACAAGATGAAAAAAAAAAACCAAAAGAATGCAGATAAATAATCAAAATAATTTCTTTTGTTTTGCACTGAATAAAAACTATAGGGAGATAATATGCATGCACCTGCATAGTTAACCTTCAGATATCAAGACTATTTTCTGCTATTTATTGAGTAATTGCGTAAGCATCATTAGGTTTCATTTTGAGAAGTGTAAAAAACCAGTAATTTTCACCTGATCTTTAACCTATGCGGCATCTCTGTGATCCAAAAAAGGAGAAAAAGATTTTTTGCCTCATGAAACTTCGATTTTTGTAAGTGTATTCCAGTAAAATAACAAGAAAAGTGAATTAGATATCAGATAGTGTTTATTTAATGAATATTTAACCAGTGAATGTCTGGAGTTGCGGCACGTTGAGTAACTGATACTAATACCTATAATAATCAGGATTAACAAATCATGCATGTGCCTGTTGCATATGTCTGCATGCTCTGCTGAGGAAGAACCTTAAGTTCGCCATCTATGTAAATAAATCAGGTGTATTATTTTTTTCTTTTCTTTCTTATTTTGTATTCATGCTACAGTGGAGCCTTAATCTCTTTTCTCAATTTATTTAAAGCTAAAAGCCTTAACACTAGAATCTCCTTTATTTTTAATAAGTGGATCAACTATTTTTGCATAATAATCTATCAAAGATAAGTTTATATAACATGAAGGAGTCCATCCTTACCCTAACTAATTAATGAAAAAAGTCTTTCAAATTCTTTCCTTGGAAAATGGAAAAAAAAGCCAGCAAACAGAAAGACAGCAAATAAAAACTACATTTAAATCATCACTTACAAAAGAGACCCCTCTCCTGTCCCTGTGTCATGAGTGAGAGGTGTGCACCCAGGGATCAGCCCTTATCTGCCCCCCTCTGTTATCCAGACAGAGCAGAGACTACATTTTTGCCCATTTTTACGTCCACCTGCTGCATAAACCATCAGATCCTGCTAAGACCAAGATTTACTTCCATTTTCTACAGATCAGTATTGACCAGAAAAATTTTTGAACACTTCCATATGATATAATCCTATCAGTGCTTGATCACCCTGAGCACTATAAGAAAATTTTAGCATCAGTTGAAAAGATCAATGACTTCCACCCCTCCCTCTACCAACGTCCTCCACCCCTACATGACACTTTTATTCACTGTGAATAACTTTTAATGTTCTGGTTGCAAGGCAAACTTTCGCCATCCAATCCTCAAGATAAAATTTCATTTCCGTTGTCAAACCATAAGGACCTCAACCCAAGCCTTGGGGTGTTTACTAGACTTTTGCAAACACGGAGTCCATGTTGTACAGCTCTTTAAATCATTTTGCCAACACTCCAACCTCAATTCATGTTGTTTCTTTAACCTTGAGCAAACAGTTTTTTGGCTTTACTATTCACTATTCTTCATCATTGGCTTTCTCTCTTATTTCTAATTATCTATTAGCAAAAGATTTCACAAACACCACTTGTTATCTCTGTTTTGTAAAAAATCAAAAATATACATGTGTAAAGATGGAATACACCAATCATATTTAACTAATCATGTTTGAAATCTTAAAATTGCTGTAAAATTGAAAATAAAATGTGACTTACCAAAATGCAATTTTGTTTGGTCAAAGCTGGTATCAATGACACGGCAGCAAAGTTATGAATGAAAAATCTAAACATCAGTTTCCGCTTTTAAACAGTCACACTAATTGGCTATCATCACAAATTAAGTTGTGTTAATCTGTTGAAGCAGAAGTGGTGTGACTGACCTATTTGAGCAACTAGTCCTTTTTTTCCACCTTGCTGAACAAAAATAAATAGTAGACTAAATAGACTGGCTAATAGAGAGCATGACATTGTAGGGCCCTGAAATGAAATGTAAACAGACACCAATTCTTCATAATTCCAATATTATTGATGAGGAGAGGAAGTGTGACAGAAGCTGATTCAGTTAATCATCTACTCTACCATGCCTAATGAGGTGGAGTTGAGAAGAATCTATAGCCAGGGCCAAGGGTGGCTGATATTATGTGATCCTCATTTCGCTTTCTTTGCTTACTACAATGAGAGTATAAGTGAGTGAAATAACTTTTTAATATAAAATTGTCCAAGATTTAATTTTTGGCTTTAAAAAAATTTTTGGGAGTAATGCAGTTGGTCAGATCAAGTTTTTGATAAGATGACATTAATTAAGCTGCTTTTGTGTGAACAGTTTTATGAGCTCAATAAAAATAGTTTTCATGCATTACAAGTGAATTATTGGACCTCTTAAATGGACTCAATATTAAGATGGAATATTCAATGAATCACAATAATAGATTCAATTATGACCCATTCTAAATTGCCAAAAATTCACTTTACTCTCTTCACCTTCTTTTGTAAAAAATAATTGAGATCCATTAGAGTAATGTAACTAATAAAGAATGAAAAGCTATAAGTCAACAGTAATTACAGTGCATTTCATAAAACTAATTACATGTCCGTTAACTTTGCACTGGGTGGTTTGTTTCTTATCCCTACTAAATGTTTCATTAAGTCAACAAATCAGTAGTCATGGGCCTCGGGCTGTGATTTGTCAGTTTTCTGATCTCCGTTAAGCCGGCAATCCTATCTTTGGGCACTAAACTTCTCAAACACCTTCCTGTTGATGCAAGCACAAATATCAACACCAATTGTTCTTTGCTTTACTTCACTTTTTTTCCACTGCTCTCAAATAACAAGCTCAGTGTTTGATAAAGAGGGAGTTCACCTTGTACAAACTGATCTTTCTTGCATAAGGGGCATTTCTTGAAAATCCATCAGAGTTAGTGCTAGATTTTATGTAAATTTACACGCAACCAATTTGACATAAACTCAGAAACCTTAAAATTGTGCTTAAAAGACGTGACTGAATGAAATTCAGTTGATAAATGATACAGGTTACGGAACCAAGTTTTAATTATTTCCTCATCTCTCTCTCTCTCTCTCTCTCTCTCTCTCTCTCTCTTTCTCAGTGTGTGTGTGTGTGTGTGTGTGTGTACGTATGTGTGTATGTGTGTTGGGAAAGAGACACAAACCAGTTTGTCAACATTTATTATAGTAAATTGTCTTGGAAATATCTCAGCTGTTATTATAATAGTAGTCTGTATATGCACATTGGTTTCAGTTGGTAGCAGTCTCCTCTCTAGCCAATTTTAAGATAATTAAAAGACTGAGCTACAGTGAGGCACAACAAGATGCACACACACAAACACTATCCCTATTAATGAAAACATTTTTTTCCAAGCGGAAGCCATACAGGAAATCATAAAACCAAAACAACTCCTGGTGGATAAGTTGTTTTTATAGCAGGCTCTTGTCGAGAAAAAAAATCAATTTTAGCAAATCATAATTTATACAGATGAATCTGTTTTTAAGTCATATCTGGCATAAATGGTGTCAATGTAAAAAAATCAGTTGAGTAAAACGGACATATTGTTAATAAGAATAATAAACAATAGCTCATTGTTTCATTTAAGAACAGTGATTTATTATTTTGTCTTGTATCATATCTGCTATTGTGTACCACACACTGTCAGGCTGAGATCACAGCAGCCACATCAGAATGTGTTAGATGTGCTTTTGTCACACAATTTACACTGCACTGGATATTTGACAGTAAACATGCCATAGTATGTATAGTATGTTTAAGAATTTTCTTTTTTATAGATCCTTAATGCTAAAATGTCTTTTTAGGAGTACATACAACTACACAGTGGACATTGCTGAGTCTTATTCATTACCTTAGGATCAGCATTCACCCTGATCAATTGTTTCAATATTTTGATATATGGATTATTCTATACGGGAGCTGATGCATGTATGTGCGACTGGTCAATGCCTCAATGGGCCATGACAATGTCTCAGAGGTCGGCCTTTTTCCCTACAAATTATGGACACCCTTAATTATGCAAGAGCCTATCGGCTAAAACTTAATCATCAAAGACCAGTTCTTAATTAACCAAACAAAACAAGAAGACAATTTACAAACATCTTATTTGTCAATCAATATGAAAAAAAATACAATTTTGATAGTTCTGGTACTAAATTAACTTTCCTAATTAGGTCTGGGTATTGATGGATCCGAGATGTCTACAAATAAAATTCTTTAATTAACTCCCCAGTCTGAGCTCAATATGCTGAAGTAAGGGGCACCAAATCAGTAAGACACAAACTGCACCCTCCACACAATTTACCCGATCAATTCTGGATTATAGCCAATATATGCTGTTTAAGTACAAATTACTGATATCAAGCTTGCCCATGATAATTGTGGACTACAAATACAACTACTTGTACTCTTGCCACTCTGAACAAAAGAAATGCTTTTCAGTTCATCATAGTAACATCAGTATTCAAAAATATTTCCTGTTCTATTTGTGAATTTCATGCAAATTATTGAAAATCCACTGATAGCATCTTTCATGGACAAATGACTACTTTCAAAGATGGAAGCCATAAAAGAGGACCAAGTTACTCTGACTTGATACAGATAAGGGTTTTCTCTCATTTATGATCATGACCATGAAATGATATTTTGCAAAAATAACTCTACAAAGACAACCTCATTTATCTCCAAGATGAAAAGTTATGCCTTGACAGGTGTGCATGCCCTACCATAAAGATATAAGATGGATTTCAACTCAAAATTTGCTGTGAAAACTTCAGCAGAAATGGGTATCACTGCTACTCTTCTTCTCATTTACAATTTTGTACTTGCTGAAACCATAAAAATTACTTTTGACTATTGTTAAAAAATCAAAAAAGAAACAGAAACAGTGGTCACCTCACCTTCATCTGCCAACTTCTGGGGTAGAGTTTCTCTGCGAAGGTTGCCACAAGGAAATAACAGTGTCCTGTCTCCTTTTTTCACAGCTGAAAAGTCCAAAGTAAAAGTCAGTGACAACTGCTGAATAGATTTAGTCTGAATCTTTATTCTGTTGGGTCTGTAGCCTTTATCTCAACACAAAATGCAAATATATGCCAAACATTGCCTACCAAAACAACTTTATGCGCGGAAATTGAGGAAAATCAAGTAAAATTGTAATTCAATCTATTATTTAGATAAAAGCTTACATGTGCTGATTTGCAGGTAAAACTACAAGGTGGGAGAAATTGATACGTTGATCCTCAAACATATCATGGACTTGGGCCGATTGAGTTTGACACTGGCTTAAAGCCACTCAGTTTGTGACAAATAGGGCGTAAAACAGACACAGGAAAGATCACAAGGTTGTTACTGAAAGACCAGGTCATTTTCCACCTAAAATTGAAATACAATCAAGGAGAATGTTTCCTGTTTGCACCTATGCATGCTCTCTTTTACCTGAATTACCACTGGTAACTTTGATTTCACAAACAACAAACACATTTTGAAGTGATTATAAAATTGCTGAATGCATTGATAGCAATTTTCAATAGTGATGTTTGTAAACAAATGCATTGCACTTATCTAAACATTTACCTTCAAAGCACCAAAAGTTGCCTGATGATGTTATTCATCAAAAACATTTAAACTTATATATATATCAGTTTATTGTAATGGATGTAACAGTTAAACCTGTTTACTACAGTGTTTAGCATATCATCTAAATGTTGACCAGGTGGCTGAAAAATGCAATAAACGTCTAATACTCTGACGTATCTGAGTTTAACATATTAACTGTGAATTGTTCAAAATAATAATTTTCATTTCTATTTCAAATTTGTCTAAATTTAACCACATAATATTAAATACAAAGTTTTCACTGTTCAACTTATCAAAAGCAACAGAGATCTTTCCAAAAATAACATCAGGTATCAATTCTGCTCTGTCCTGCTGTAATTACACAATAATAACCACTTTGATCTAAGGTTTATTTGTTGACATGTGCCACAAAAGAACTAGTCACTGCTTCATAAACATTAAACATGTTGAATACATGATAAACATTTAGAGGCAACATGTATCAATTTGATTTGTCATCAGAAAGGAAAATGACTCAAGTAGAAATCCTTTTTCATCAGATTTTTCCTCAGCAATTTATACTTATCCCTTAATAATGTTACATTTTTAAAAGAAACATCTACATGATGACAAAAAAAAAAAAAAAAAAAAAACAATACTTAACAAGGTAATATTGAAAACAAGTAAGCATACTCTATACAACTTTAAATAATCAGAAACTTAAGTTAGAGAAAAAGTGGCTTTCTTCATGCTACGTTTGAAACACAATGCCTTTGTGAAATGGGTTATCTAGGAATATTGCAACATAAGTTGCAATTTTTACATGTAAAATACTACTGATGTGTAACACGAACACTGTTTTATCAAAGATAAAGGCAGTCTGAATGTGGCTATGCCTTTCTATCAGACTTACTCTGTAGCTTTTCCAAGAACAAATGTTATCTCTGTTCTGGAGTCCAATACTTTTTCCATCACATCACAGACTGAAATCACAATAGTTTTCCAGCAGCTAACTTAATTAAACAGATCATAAACTTCAATAAATAAATAAATAATATATCTCCATGTATATGTTTATATAATTCTTACCTTAACCAGAAGCCTGTGTAACTGATCAGCTGCCAAAACAGGAATGTGTTGACCAAAATTGAGTGAGGACTTTTTAAACAAGCTTCATTAAAAGGAACAGTTTTCCAATACGTTATCAAACAAATGCCTAAATCTATCTTCTGTTGCCCCACCCCTTTATTTCACTGAAATAACAGAGCACATGTATGCACAATGTAGTCGGGAAAATGGGCTAGAGTTAATTAAGTTGAGTGGCTCTTTATTAAATGTAACTTCTTTTAACTTCCCATTACAGAAGCTAATTGTCTCATACCTTCAAAAATACCTTGACGCACTTGTTGATTGCAAAAATCATTAAGATTTTAAAGAAAGCCAATACATGCTTCATTTCCAAATAACATGCCCCTGTTGTTCCTAGCTACTCTAGCAGTGTTGATGCAATTAGAATGGGCCTTCTATTGAAAGTGCTGAATTTTTAATTTCTTAATTTCTCCCACAGAACATAAGCAATCAATATCACTGATTGGATCAAATTGGGAGCATGACCAATGTCATGCAATTAAGAGGGTCACTCGTGCTTAAGGATTAATCCAGCTATTTCTAATTTCAAAATATAAATAAGTAATGTGTTTTTCAAAACAGAAATATCTAAAAAAATTATAATTTCTTAATTTCCACTTGAAATCAATAAGTTTGTTTACTTTTAATTAATTATCAATTATAATCATCAATGATTTAAAATGGAAAACACTTTCATGTTACAGGTTTTCAGTGTTGTATCAACATTGGAAAACTTTAAATTTCTAGAAAAAGTACAACATAAGTGTTAACTTTCTAGAAAAAGTACAACATAAGTGTTAACTTTCTAGAAAAAGAGTCACACTTGCTCAAACTGTCATGATGCTAGCCCTTTAGCACTCTCACATTATAGTACTCATACTTGTACAGCTTAAATTATGTCAAATAGTATCTACACTGGCATATGTCAAGTAAATAATTATTGAAAATTGCTCACAACTTCATCTAGGGATGATTATTTTGGTCACCACATCCTATCATTATTTCAAATTATGTTGGCATTAACTCCTGACTACATTGTAATAATCTCTGAGAAAGATTACTCAAATCCAATTAACAGTGAGGTTTCTTCTTAATTCAGCAGTACAGTTTCAATTTGAGATCTTGTCAAGCTCAATTTAGAATTCAGTCTATTGCCTTTCAAGATTTTCTAATAACACAAATCTTTATAAAATATATATTTTATACAACTTTTTTTTGCAAATAAAATTGCCTTTATCAAAAGCTTGTATACGCTCAATATTTTCCCAAACACCAGTATACTTTTGCATAAATAAGTGTAAATGAAATTTACCCTTACTTTTGCTATCTTAGTCTATCATTTTAACTGCAATTTTTAAATGGATATTTTGTTTTATCAATTTTTTCACCTGTCATAGTAAAAAAAGTCTATTTTTCTATTGTTGTTGAACTCAGTAACTGCATACTGTGCATATATTCAGTCCTGGTATACCACTAGCAATAGCCCAACACATAATTTTACCTTCGTTCCCTTTTTCAAAACTGAGACAGTCAACATATGAAAATTCTAGTCTCCGAAATTTTTTTGCATATTTCACCTCAGGGCAGTCAACATCATTTTATGTGATAACTTAAGCTAGGCTAAGTGAAAGCATTTATGTTCTTTTCATAATTACAGGGATGTTGTAGAACCTCCAGCTTGCCAAGCAGCTGCCATTGGAACTCCTGGCCACAAGCATGTAAGCATGTTTGTGGTTAGGAAAAATTATTGTTAATAATTACTTCAGAAGTCTAATGCATTATTCATGCAATTTTTTTTTTCTACATTAAATGAGATCAACTGTTGATTAATCTGAGACATGCAGAGGTAACTGATTATGAAAATATACTCAAGAGCTTAAATCTATTTAATGCTTTAAGTAGGCATCTTATTTCATAAAAATTTCATTTGCTTACACTTATCTTTATTCAGGAAAATGAAGCATAAAATAGTGTGACAAAAATATTCTGAAAGACTGCTCAGAGTGCAATATGTCTCTTGTATACTTTGCATGCTAACAATGCCTTTTTAACTTTGTCTAGGTCTAACTTTTTTATGAACTTGCAAAATTAGAAAAAAAAGGCAAGACAGTATCTTATTGCTGTTTAAAATAAAATGGCTTACATAACCGTGACAGCTGATAAGATAATGACATTCTAGATCTAAAGGAGATTAAGTTAAAAAAAAAAAACAACAACTCACCTTCTCTAATGATGGGAACCAGGCTCTCTGCACTTCCTGTGTTTTCTCCTATGGTAGTAAATGACAGGCATGCAGCTGAAAATGACACAAATACATCGTTGGAGGGTGATTAATTTTTTATAGCATTAATACTTTTCACCATGTTCAGTCACCTCATACATCCTCAGTAGAAATGAGAGCCCTCATCACGTTGGACAAGGAACCATTCTGTGCTAATTATATGCTTGAGTGAACATCGACTCAGTCCATGGTATACACAACACACTGGCTTCAGAACCTCACATTAAGTCAGAGCTTGATTGAAAATGTTTTCTACAATAATCACAGCTAATCAGCTAGAAAGGGAAAACATTTTCTTTTAATTTTTGTGATTAATCAAATATTTTAGTTTGTTTTATAGTCTCATTTTGGCACAATCAAGTTCACAACTTGGGAAGTCTCCATGAGGTGGCAGTGTACTGCCTGCTAATGCTGAATAGGATGGGTGGCAAGGGCAAGGCGGAGAACAGAACCTTAGCAGTTATATCATGATAAATATCTGTAATCAAATACTGAAGGTTAAAAGGTCATACCTAAGAAAAGTGACAATATTTTGGGAAGGTAGGACAGCAGTAATTTTCAGTGAAATAGGTCTCTATCTTAAAATGATAAAAAAGCTAATCTTTTTAAAGAGACAACACGCAAGCCTCATAGGTAAAAACATGATAAGTCTCTTTAGAAACAGACTTTTTTCTTCGATATACTACGAATATTGAAATTGTTTACCTCCAATATTTCAATGTCTATCTGTATCATCTTTATCAAAGATTATTATTCAGGTGATAATTTCAATATTAGCTGTTGATTGAAGAAAAAATTACTATTTTATTCTTATAACAACACAGCAGATTAAATTCTTCTCTGAACTGTTAAGCCACACCAAAAAAGTGTGAGATGTTCAGAAGTTTTAACAAAAAACTTTTACAATCAAAAGTTTTTGCTGATTAAATTCTTCTCTAAACTGTTTAAACCACACCAAAAAAGTGTGAAATGTTCAGAAGTTTTAACAAAACATTTTTACAATCAAAGTTCTTTTACTCTAGACACTTCTCAATACTCAATCACAATATCCCATGTTATGTTCTCAGAACAAATCAATGCTCAAATTAATAACTCAAGTAAATACTGAACAAGTCTGTTTCAAAAAAATGTACAAGGTAATGAATTCCCCCTTAAAATCAGAAGTACCTGACATCAAAATATTTATGATACTAGTATCATACTACATATTCTTATGGACAAATGCCCAAGCATCATGCAGGTGTAACATAACCAAGAGGCCATCATCCCCCTAAAATAAATGGTATACACCTTATCATGATAATCTAATCTTCATGTCTCTGTCATCTTTCATGAAATGAGACCCAAAGGCAAAAATAGGCATGATTGCGTAAGTTCAGGGTGATAGGTACACGTAAAAGCTTTCAAGATCCATCCTCCCCCTTTACCCCACAGATCAAACTAAAAATCCACTATTAATCGGCTAAACTCAAATTTCCACCTCTCAAATTTCAGATAATAACAGGAGTTAGGGCTTGGTCTGTTATTCAGGATGAATGCAGTTTGCTGCCAGTAAAGATGCCACTCTGTTTGACAGCAGTGGTGTCATTCATGGTACTGATGGTGTCTGTCCACTGACTTCATCTTAACATTGTTAGACCCCAATCTGGAGGGGCGTCTTTGGCAACTTTATGTCAGTTTTATCTCCCATCTGTCCATTGAGGGCAATCAAAATCTTGAGTGAATCAAGGCTTAGTAAACAGGACTGAATGACGAAAATGGTCTTGACTATATGCACTTCCCTTACCCTCAAGACAAACAAGACAGAGGTGAAATTGTTGCGGCAGTACCTCAAAAAAAGTGAAAAGAATCTTCCGAGTTCATTCTTTCTATGTTCTATAATTGCTAGTTTCAAATTCTAGATCATTTTCCATCATTTGTGAAAGAACTACAAACACTGAGGTAATCCACTTGTGGAAAAAACAAACAGGAATCATTAACCTTGTTGTAGTTAGGGGTCATCTTACATTCATGTCCACAGGGGTTTGTCAATAACCACATTATTCAACAATATTCATCTGGTTAAATTTCTAACAAGTTTTCTTCAGATTTATGCATACCAGCATCAAGTTACTTAGTAAAAACTACAAACAACTTACCGTTCCATCTAGTCCTGTAGTCTGATGGGAAATGGTTTGTAACATACAGACAATGCTATCTTATACTCTGTGGATCAAATTTTATTTTAAATACAAAGTGGGTTCTTTAATTTGTATTTGGTTTTTCACTTATCTCACACTTTATTCTTTTCTGACTTGCATTAAATACTCAACAAAGAAGAAGTGACCACAATGACATTCTGAGATAAAACCTTGTATTTAACTTAAAACCAAACAAACAAACTAGCATTTTCCAATAGGTAGAATATCTAAAACAAGATTAAAGGTGATATTTTTTAAAACACAGCAAAACAATCAACAGTTTAACTCATTGTAATTGTTCTGAAAGGTGCTTGAAAACATTGACAGGTTTTTCTTTAATTTTTTCATGAACACCTCTGACCTATGAACTGCTGGCTAAATCATAATTTTGTGGTTTTCTGGCAGCATTTATATTTCACACCTTAATTTTCGTAACTCATTTTTATTTAGTGTCAACATTCTGTGTATAAACTCTAGAACATTTTGTTTTCATGATCCCAACACAAACAGATCACTTATGATTTTACGCTTCACTTCCTTGAAATACATTATATCATAACAAGGCACGCACAGGTTTCTTTACCATTTATTTGGTTCCTGGCAGAAACAATATGTTGTTTACTTTTCAAACAATATATATTCTCTGTCCTTGTTTATACTTCTATTTGGCAACTACAAGAAAGCAAACTGATACAACACACTTCAACCTATTTATTTTAATGAAAAGTCTTCATTTACAAATTGTAGAAATCTGATTAAAGCAAGTGACCTGCACCAAATTCTGCAGTAGATCTATGGCCACACACAACACATTCGCAACCAACTATATAAAATGCAGACATCTACATAAGGCATAAAACATACAAACACACAGTCATAAACATCCAGAGTTAAACATAAATCTTTGACACTTTAAGTTTTGGACAAAGGCAGTTTTTCTAAGATAAGCAAAAAATTGTATCTTGAAATGTTCTTTCTTGTTGGGCATGTTGCCAATACATACACAGGTAGTACTGTATTGGCCAAGTACTCTCTTAAGACAATGTTTATTTCACCAAAAATATATAAAATAAACTGAAAAATATTCAACTGCTGTTAAAATATGATAACTGTATCTTTACCTGCAGCAGCTGTGGCTTCTCCAACAACAAATGCTGGGAGTTTTGCCCATTTTTTGGATAAATCTTTGGTCCAATCTAAAGAAAGAAATATATGAACATGTATATGAGAGAGAAACAAAACTACACTATATTCCACAAGGCCCATGGCACCACAGCTGGAGAAAAAAGTGAACAAATAAGATGAGGAAAGATATGATCAGATGGAAAGAGATACAGTAATTGTAAATGCAATTTTACAAAAAGGTTGAACAAAAAATGTTTTACCTGGAAATTTGTGACAGCTTAATATGCTTAGTAGTGCCTAATTAAAAAAATCCTTCATTGCTCCACCCTCCAATATTATGATCGAGTCATTTTATTGGCTACAAATATTAATTGCACAGTCTGTTGAAAATCTTGAAAACTAAGTTCAAATGGCTGTTGTTATTGTTATTATCTTTATGTTATAAAAATTTAGAATTTTTGAAGAACAGAGAATCTGTACATGTAAATGAATCTGAATTTTGTGCTCAATTCTCTCACTGTATTATCAAATAACAGTTTCAGTGGTATCTCAAGACTGTGATTGGCCATCAATAGAAGTTAATTAAAATATAATAAATAACACCAGACTATACAGCAATTCTAATTCATTAGGCCCTTAATTCAATTGTTTCAATAACTATGTATCTTAAGAAAAAAGAAAGTAATTTTTCTTGTCCTTTCACCTAGGTGCCTTGACAAAACCTTCTACACTTGCTGAGACAAAGTAAACACTAGGTTAATTGTTTTTCAGTCAGCCTCATTTTCTATTCCCTTTCAACTTGCTCATTAGCATATCTAATTATGTTCAGTGCAACACATCCACATGCTTAATTAACCCAATTAATAAGCACAAGACAGTCTGCAACCACCAACTGTTGCACCAATGTGACCACACTGTGAAAAGTGCAACTTATATCAAATCATAGGGTACTGACTTCTATCATGGAGCACTAAGTAGCCAGTAAGCCAGCCTTCCATTGTTGCTGGATCAGTTTACTGTGTGTACAGAGTTCAATAATTATTGTATACAAATTAATGAGCACAATATTATTTGTACAAACTGGCTGCTTGGGGCTATGCTCCTACTTGTTGTGGTCAACAACCACCTAATCTTTAGTGTTACAATTCTGTAAAGGTTAGAGGATGAAAAGCCAAGGTGCACTATTCGGAGAGAGGCCATTCATTTGGTGCTACACAGAGTCTGGAGACTGCACCGTCCGCTAATCCTTCATCCTCCATTAAGTAAGATCAAAGGGCAGTATCAAGAAGCAATCACTTGCTTTAAAGGTGTTTAGGACCCGCCCTATTCCTCCAATCTTAATTTGCACTTTCTTTTTCTTAAGGTAAACACCCCGCGTATCACACTGTCTCAGTGGTGTAATTGAAAACAAACAAGGAGGCTGTGACATGTGGCACCACCATGGCACCTCTGGTGTTGATCTTCAATGATTCAATATGACTGGGGAAAAAGGACAAAAAAGGGAAAAAACAGAATGACTACATAATTACAAGTTAAGTTTGTACATTATTGGTAAAGTTTCCCATTTGGTTAATGTACCTGTCACACAAAAGGGCAGGTTCATTGTATATTTGGACTATTTGGATTACGGCCAGAGGTGAGCAAGAGCATTTCGTATATCTCCCCTGAGTGAATATTATCAAACTGCTAACTGCAAATTCTACAGAGATTTGGTTTAAGTATAAACTTAGGTATAAAATATTTCACACAAAGAGATCAATAGGATTTTACTCAAATAATGAGTGTTAATTCTATTATAACTCTGACATGCCAAGATAATTATTGGTAAGATCTATAACCAGAAACTATTTTTTCTTTAATCTCCATATCTCTTAGCTCTGGAAATCATCCAATGCTTAAACATGCTCATAAAGTATATAATTAACTGTTTCAGATCATTTGGTAACGATTCTTATTTATTTTACAAATATTCTTTGATGATGAAATTAACAACATAATACAAAAGGAAAAAGAATATTTGATTTTAATCCCGCTAATTTATACAAATCTTTGATGATAAATTAGGAATAAAAATTCAAGAGCTAAAAGCATATTTGTGCCTTTTAGAAGAGACTACTAAAGTAAATGTACCCAAAATATCATCAATACACCCATTGTGTAATAATTCTCATACAGAAGCAAACCTATATTGGCTTAAGAGGAACAATGCCAGTAAATGAGCAGCCAAGTTTTTCTCTAGGGTACCAGCCAGGGGCCTGATTACTCACACCTCATTTAATCTTCAATTTATAGGATTTCTATCGAGAAGGCACAGGCAGAATAGAATCCCAAAACCTTAACAACTAGCCGACACAGCAGTTCAAGTTAGAAGAGTTCTTCAAACAGCTCAGCTTTTCTTCTATAAAATGAGGCATGAAGGAACAAATAAAACTGGACAAGACCAAATAAAAACAGGATGCATGAAAAATGTTGCAAATGAATGTAGAACTCTATTGTGAATAAATTAACAATGATGCTGACTAGACGTCAGGTGGTATAGTTAATCATTGATTATTTTCAGTCAAACTTGAATTCATAGTTATGTAATTAAAGAATCAATGACATTTAATGAACATGCAACAAGGCTTCTGCAGGCAATTTCTCCTCATTCAGATTTCATCATTTAATTACTGTCTATCTTCAAGTTTCTATAAATATATATCTGTGTTAAATATTTATGGGGAACTTAATTTTTTGTAGCTGAGCCATTAATTTTTTATTGTGCGACATATTGATGTCAATCTTTATAGAATTTCATATCTTTATCAAATATGTTTGTAACTCTATCAAACTTTGAATGGTATCTTATAGAAAAGAGAACATACTGGCCCTTTCATCAATTTGACAAGTCAGGACTCACATATATATAATGCTCAAAATGTTCATTAAGCTAAAATATTGTATTTTAATTTTAATTTTAATTTTGGTGAAATGCTAATAATGAAACCTCTTACATCTACCGGTGAAATGCTAATAATGAAACCTCTTACATCTATAAATGACAAGGTTTATTAATTACATTTCAAAGGGATTTTTAAAATTAAATTCAAACACAAGCATAATTAAGGAGACTGTTGAAAGCAAGAGAGAGAAAGAGAGAGAGAAAGGGAGAGAGGGCTCCATCCAGGGCACAGGACGGGGTCTCTTTTGAGGGACTGATTTGAACCTAACATACTTAATCAAATTAAGCTTGATTTGATTCTATTCTTTGTCCAATAGTTGTTGGTCAATACCTATTTCTGAGCAAGTTATAAATCAATTGTGTTGAATGTGTTGTATTGTATGCTGCACCTCCCACTTCAAGATGAACCAAACAAAGTGATGATGTACAAGGTGAATAGAAAAAATTTGGAAACTGACCTCTGATTTTCAAACATTGCTGGACATGATTGCTTCACATATGGAATACTTGAGCTTTTTTATGTGTGTATGTGTGTGAGTGTGAGTGAGAGAGAGTGAAAGAGAAAGAGAGAGATGATGGGGTGGTTATACTGCTTTCATGTAAATGAGCAAAAATGTTAATAGCTTGGTAGTTGGATCATAAACGAAAATTATAATTTTCATTAGCTTTCACATAACATTAATACAGCAAAATGCTAAATTAAATCTACTTTTATAATCTCACTAAAGAACATTTCAGATTATCCATAAACCAAGATGTTATCTAAATTCCACCTGGTATGGTATCAGATTTACTTAAACAAATTAAGTTAAGTAAAAAAACAAATAAATTACAATTTCAAACATCTAAGTACCTTCCTCACTGCCAACCATCTGAACTGCCTTTTCCACTGCTTCCACTGCCCTCTGGCTGGTAAATATGATACCACTGTAGTTCTCTGGTTGTAGTAAGGCTGCATGAAGAATATCCAGGTTGAGAAAATCAAATCTTAACACAGGGATACATCTTGCACACAGACCATTCTGTTGGAAAAGCTGTAGAAAGGGAACAAAAGAGTAACAATATACACATGCATACCAAACCAGAACAGAAGATATCAGGAATACATTGAAAAAGAGGTTTCAAAACATTTTAAATTTAAAAAAAACTGAAGTTAGCACATTTTCCAAATTTTATTAGGTTTTGAAAAAAGGGCAACAGTGAATTTATGATTGCCAAGTATCCTGCATTTAATTGGCAATTGTGATAGTAGTGTAACATTAGAAACACATTCTGCAAGGCTACACATTGTGTTGGGTGTTCTTCAACTTTCAACTGCAGCAATCACAGAGCCATTAACTTGGTATGTTGTTCAACTTCTTATATCAAATTACACAAGATGGTTAACATATGTTCTCACTGACCTATACATTCTAAAATGAAATATACATTTAATTATTTGATTGCAAGAAAATGAATAGAGCTTACGTCTACATAAAGATCCTTTCCATCTTCTTTTGAAGCTTTGAACAACACAACACCCTTGTTAGACATATTAACCATGAGATATATATCATATATGTCACACTCCTCTGAATTTGTGAGCTATAAATAAAAGACATGACAGAAAAGCTGTGAAAAGAACAGACAAATGGCACATGTCAAAGAAAACATTAACGCATGATTTAAACTGGATTCCCATACTTAGACCCCATTCCCATAGTATTCAGATCGATTTATCCCCTTGGGGAGTCTCACTAGATTGGTGTCAGCTTAACAGGCTTAAATGTCTGTCCCGCCTACTAAAAGCTGTAAGGGGGTAATTAACTTTGGTGTGCGCTCGGCTGACAGCAATTTAGCTTGAACCCCCAGGGAGTTAGATCCCCAGATCCAAATGGATCGATCTAAATCTCTAGGAATACAGTCTTAGATCAATCCATCTGGATCAACCGAATTCCCTGGGGGTTCCCACTAAATTGCTATCAGCTCAAGAGGCTTAAATGTCTGTCACGCATACCGAATTAGCTAGGGTAAAGATAATTACCCCCTAACAGCTTTACTAGGCATGACAGACATTTAAGCCAGTTAAGTTAATGGCAATTTAGATCAATCCAAAAACTGTGGGAATGGTCTCTTAGACTGCATTCCCACAGATTTTAGATCAATCTATCCCCATGGGGAGTCTCACGTGTACTAGATTACTGTCAGCTTAGCCAGCTTAAATGTCTGTCCCGCCTACTAAAATCTGTAAGAGGGTAATTAACTTCCGTGCGCACTCAGCTGACAGCAATTTAGCATGAACCACCAGGGAGTTTGGTCGATCCAAATGGATCGATCTAAAACTGTGAGAATGCAGTCTTAGCCTTCCCTACGTACCCTACATATACCTCCCCCCCCCCCCCTTGCTAGTACCTCAGATGACATTGAAAACATAAGAAAAACCCAGAAGTTAACATTTTATTTAAAACATTGTGTTATTTGGATATACCATGAGTGCGGAAACCAACAACTGGTTTTGTAAGGAAAACTGTACCTCTTACCCATTTAAATCCCACTTTAATCTTGCAGGTGCCACGAAAAGAGCAACTAAGTCACATCGATATCACATTTATAACGCAACCAATTAATTTTCTGATGAATTTCAAAAAAAAAATTAACATTATATTTACACTAGCTTACTTTAAATAAATAAAATAATAAACAACCTTAAGCCAGTGAAGAATGTATCACAAAAATAATGTAAGCTTATCTTGAGAGAACTTTGGACTTTTTGATTTTCTCGTATCCAGCCTCAACCTCGTTTTGAAAAAGACATATAATTTGTTCGCATCTTGAAAATGAGGGTATAGTTGGAGAAAAAATAATTCGTTCACCGCAAACCAAAAGAATTTGACATTTGCGAAAACAGCTGACAGATCTGACAATGGCAGCAGCAAATGGACAAATAACCAGCTACAGTGATTACCAAGAAGTATTTGTTAAACTCAGGGAACTACCCAACTACGCCGACCTTAAGAGAAAAGTCGACGATGTGGTCAAAAACAGTTCTTGGTGGGATCTTTATGGTGTCGATTGGATGATCACTCTCTGCGGATTTGCCTGCCTCCCCGTCGGTTGGCTGTTGTTAAGGTCATATAATCCCATTCTTTTCCTCCTTGGGATGTTCATCGTCGGCTGTGTCCATGCACTGCTTGCCAACAAATGTGGACACCTGGTCGTACATAATGCAATGTGCGTCTCGAAGAAATGGGGTGTGTTCTGGCGAATTTTCTTCGGTGAGCTTTGTGGATCATTTTCTGACGAAATGGGCATGGAAATTCACGTCAAAATACACCATCCACATACAAATATCATAGGACTTGGGGACTCTAGTTCCTGGAGAGCACCATTTCTCCCATGCTACATTTACATGTTTTTGGCTCCACTGGCATTACCTGCCCTGACCCCGTTCATTTCTTTAGTGTTACTCTGGGGACGATGGCTAAAGATTTTGCGCTGGCTTCCTGTGATGACAGCCGGCCTGGTGATAAATGCCTACATTCTTGTCCATGTCTCTGGGTTTACCTGGACCGGAGCACTGTGGTGTATGTGTGTAAGCCGTGCTGTGCTGGCCATACCCTACATCCATGTCAACATTTTCCAGCACATAGGATTGCCCATGTACGACAGAAAGCACCGCCCAAAAAGGATTTATCAAATGTCCACAGGTGTGCTGAATCTGTCTCGAAACCTCATCCTGGACTACTGTTTTGGGCATTCACTCATCAGTTGTCATGTTGAGCACCACTTGTTCAACAGACTTTCTGATAATATGTGCCTGAAGATCAAACCACTGGTGAAGCAGTTCTTAAAGGATAATGGTTTGCCATACCAAGAGGCAGATTACATGGAAAGAGTCAACTTTTTTGTTTCAAAATATGATGATCTTATGGTGAAGTTGCCACCTGTTATTCACTTTGTTGGTATTCAGTAACTTCAACTTAAGGTTGCTTCAAAAGAGATGAAAGTGAGAGGACAGAAGATGGATTATAACTCAATTTAATGCAACTTATTTAGTGCTGTGATAATTAAAAACCTACCAGTTAGATAAACAAGCATTCTGTTGTTGATCAATGCACTTTCATTTATGACATTTGAAAATGTGAGAACACAAACTGTATTGACTGTGAAACAGTTCATTGAGTGAATTTTCTCTGTGCCAAAGTAGATTATGTTTACGTAATTTGCAAAATTCTTTATGCTGAATGATTCATTTGAAATGTTATCCTACAAATGTCTGGGCCATAGGATGAGCAAAAAGCAGAGGGGGAGGGGGGCACAGCTCTTGAAGGCCATGATTCATACAGGCAGGGTTTTTCAATTGCCTTTGGTACTTGTCTAGATGCTGACTGAAGGAAAATCAGAGGTTTCTAACTGACAGCTGGGAAAAAGGAAAGTGCTGACTTAAGTTTAAAAAATCTTTGTCAAAAAAATCCCCTCCTTCCTTCAGCCTACAGCCCAGATTATTCAGTACTTAGTTGAAAGTATTTTCTGTTTATATGTGGTAATGTGGAGTGTTCACTTAAGTTTTGAATTTATGTCTTGATGTGTTTTCACATTAATACACTGGTTAAAAATGACAGGTCTTTAAATGTAATTTAAGAATATTTTCCTAACACTGTAGATATTTAATTGTAGTTTTTTGACATTGAACTGATGTACCATAAGCATTCCTTTTAAACTGGTGTTTTGTGTGATGTTGTGAATTTACCTCTATCAGTATTCAAGTAAATTGTTATGCACAATTGTAATATTATTTGTGGACATCTTGATATCTTAAAATATTCAAACAATTATAGATTTTAAATAATTGTTTGCAATATGTGTTTGTATGGCTAGCTTTTAATGTAGAAAACTAGCTGCAGTTTAGTTTTTTTCAACAGGTCCATTAATAACTTATTAACAACTTGTGAGGAATATCTGGATCTTGAACTTTGTGATAAGTTCACAAGTAGAAAATAAAATAAAATAACCAACATATCATATATCTTTTTCTTTGTAGAATAGATAAAAAAAAAATTCAAATGCAAGTTACAGCTGGAAACAACTTAAATAAAATGCAACTTGTGTTCAGTTTGAACCATCAGTTGAAAGGTGAGAAGGGAGATACTTGCATGTGTAACTGGATTTCATCAAACAAAATAATATAAACTCTGAGAAATATCAACACTGGTTGAAGTATTCATGGTTTAATTTACACCCTTTCTTACAATGTACAAAGGCATTCAATAAATAAGTTGAATTACAGTTCCTATCTAATAATAATCCTTCCACTGTGTGGCACTTGAAGTTTAAATATGAAGAGTCAAGTGATACAAGGTTGGTCCAAATGTAACAATTTATCAAAGAACTTTGATCTTCTACGTGATTAATGCCATGTTTACCATCTATTTCAGTCACATCCAGAAAGCTTATCAAAACAATCATATCCAAGGCCACTGTCGTCTGTTTGCTTCTCCCAATCAGGCATTAATAATAGGTCATCATCAGAAAAGAATACCCTACAGTCTCAATTGACTAGACTATGTTCAGCTTTTAATCTCTGTAAATTTCTGTCTTCATTTCTTGGATTTTTTAATCTTATATACATCAAGATGATTTGTCTCCACACCATATATTTGGGTAATAATGATAAAAATCTGAGTAACACCTCATGCTTCCTATGAGATGATGGTTTTTGCAGTTTGTGAAATTTCATAAGATTTTATGTCGGAAACCAACTGGCCTTCCTAGGTTACTTCTCGGATAATGATAAATACAATTACTATGTACAAAGAATACCCAATTTGTTGAACAGTGTCAATTGATGAACCCATACTTCATTCGTGGGTCATTCTAAAGTTTTTGTTATCTTCTGATCTCATTTTCTCACTATTGGAGTATGAAAAGATGTTTTAAAGTTTTATGAAGGGGAAAAGAACTTATTGTTATGAGGTAGCCTTTTAAATAAAAGACTGAAAGCTGTCCATTCAAATGTAGAGGGACAAGTACTGTTACTTTTATGCAGCAGATGCATCACATTTCACAACGCTATTACTGGTCTTCTCTACAGTTTCTGTTTTAACATCTATAGTTCATCCTATAACCTATGCTCCACATATTTTTCAAAATCTGATTTCTTTCACATCCCCAGGACTCATCTCCACTGGACAGTATGGGCATTTCACCCTGGAAAAATATGGAATGCCAACTTAAATAATAGAGGTAAATATCTTTAGTGAAAGGGTATTGCAGGCAGTGTGCAAACTGAGAACATTAAATGTAAGAAATGTGTCTCAAGATTGGCCAAATTATACACAGACCTTGCCAGGAGTTCTTACTTCTACACATCTGTCTCTATGAAAGCTTAATTGCCTTGTTTAGGAAATTGATATCTATGTTTAGTTTAGACTCACTTATTTGCATTGGCAAGCTTATTGAGAGCATCTCTTGAGATCACATGGCCACAAATGAGTCTTGATGGTGGATTGGAGTCATTGCTCTGTTGTCGCAGGATTGGACAGGCAAATATGGAGTGGTAACGTCTCTCTGGTCCAAGGTCTATCTCCACCTAGGTGATATGAATCATCAAAATTAATCAATTTAACAGCATCAATATTTTAAGCTAAAACTTACATATTTGAAACTATTTAACAGACTTGCAATGAGAGCACACATTAGAATTTAAAAAAAAATTGAACAACTTCTGGCATTATGTGTGTGTGTTTATGTGTTGTGTGTCCACAATTGCATCTCTGTGTGCATGTTTGTGTGTGTGTGTGTGGGGAGGGGTGGAAATGAGACAGGAAACTTACTGGCAGTTCGTCTTTAGCACTCCAAACCCCTGTACATTGTCTCTGCTGCATCACCTGCTTGATGTTAAGTAGAGGAGGGAGTGCAGTGCAACCTGCCTGCACACTGAAATAAACAATCATAGAGAAAGATGTACCCACATTCTACAGCTATACTTACATGCTGGGTTTTAGAATTAAAAGACATGAGAAAGACTTAAAATAAGTATCATTTAATATAACATTAGAAAAATAGACAGCAGATTATTTTACCCACTATGACTGAATATTAATTTAACATCTTCCTAGTAGATAGCTTTTAGATATAATTTTTGCAGTTTTCTTGGCAAAACTGCAGAGCAAGTATTATACAGATAAAATTGATATACATATGACCACATACCCCACGCTGAGAGGACTCTCCACAGACAAGCCTAATAAAGCACATGCATCCCTGGTGAAGACATCACATATCTCATCCCACTGGACTGGGTCAAGCAGAAATGCATATGGAGAGTTTTGGATTCCCTGCCGGATGAAAAGGAGGCTGCCCATCAGAATCTGCACATCTGAAATAAAACCAAGCATAATTCACATGTTGGGGATTACAGTGGCAGACATGCAGACTATGATTAACAATTATTAATCATTTAATGATACAACTACTGGCTAAGAAATCAACAACAAACGTTGCTGCTCATTTACTAAATATCTATGCACATATAACTGGAAAAAACTTTACTGTGAGAATATGATTTCTAGAAATCTATGAATGAACACAGTAGCTGAGATATCTTACCTCTGGGATTACTGTAGGCAAAGGGTGCAAAGTTTTTGGCATATAAAAGTGCTTTTTGCTGACTCTCTGGTCCCTCTAAAAGAAGACTTATAAACTTCAATCTGTGAAGTTTAAATTCCAGAGAGCTGTTCTGTGATTGCAAAGCTGCCCTGTTGGTGTGAGCCCATCTGAAAGGATGAAAGTATCCACTCTAGATAAAGAACATTTTACTTTATGCTGGATTGTTTTAGAAAAGAGCAATATTAATCTAGTAACAAGAAGGCATTCTCTAGTACTAGCCGCCAAAGCATGTCTGATATGGATTGTCTTACAAGTATATAAATGCTGCAAATTACCATATATTTAATACCATATTACCATACTGATATTTTGACATAAATATAGGCTACAGACATGCATTTGTCATTACGAATTAAGAAAGAAAGAAAGAAATACCCTATAGCTGGTTCTAAATTTCTGTGTTTTAATCCATCCAAGATTCGATGCAACTCCAGGAATGGCTCCTTTTGACTTTCATCTATATTCAAGTGAGATTCCTAAAATAAAAGAAAATTTTGTTTAGGGCATCTTACTATAAACTAAAAGAAACTGCTCTCTAAATTATTCCAACATTTTACATCAAAGATTTCAAACCTAAAACAATCCTCCAAAACAATCATGTTTGAAGTTAAGAAAGACATTTAAAAAGAAAATGATAATCATATAAGACACTAAAATATAGATGTTTTGTGTTAAATTATAATATACAACTTTATGATGTTGTAACTTCTTTCTCTTATAAGTCATTGAACTTTTGCAGCTAGCAGTTCAAAAACCCTGTTTTACAATAAAGTCCATTTAGATCATAACACATATACTCACATGCATCAGCTCCTCTGCAATATCCAGCATTCCCTGTCTGAGAAAATGTTCACATATTACTTCATTGATAAGTTTTGCCTTCTGTTCACCTTTCAGAGCCTCTTCATTTATAACTGCACTGAAATCTGATGGGAAATTCTGAAAACAAATGAAAAAATGTATAATATGTATAGCAAATTATAAAACAAAAACAAAAATAAAACGATGTTACACAGGTTAAAAAAACCTAATGTGATGTATAAAATAGTCCCTTGTCTTATTTTTAACAAACTGGGTTATTACTTAGGCACATCTAATTTGTTTCTGAAACTTTTTTTAAAAAAATTTATAGAAAAAAGACTTTTAGGGACCATTCCCAGACTCCATCATACTAATTTTGGATCGATCTATCTCCCAGGGGATTCTCCCTAAATTGCAATTAACTCAAGTGGCTTAGATGTCTGTCACGCCAACTGAAGCTGCTAGGGAGTAACTAATTATCATTTAGCAGCTTCAGTAGACGTGCCAGACATCGAATCCCCTTAACCTGAAAGCAATTTAGCGAGAAACCCCTTGGAGATGGATCGATCCTGTTAGATTGATCTAGGTATGGGAACCCAGTCATATTAAAAAAATGATACATACCCTGTCCACTGCTTTTCCTACTTTGGATACACTACTGTGGAGGTCTTTATGTTCTGTGCTCACTTTACTCACAGCATCTTTTATCTTCCTTGAATTCTGTGCTAAAAGTATGGTCTGTGCTGTGGATATCTCGGTGTCTTCTGGAACTGTTCAAAGTTTCCAATTTTATTTACATGGCTGTGAAACTACAATAATATTTCAATGCAAGGGCAATACGTAGATGCATAGTATATATGTTTATGGTACGTGGATTCGTGAATGTCTTTGTGTTTCTGTTTGGGGGGGGGGGTGTTTGTAACAGTGTACACGCTGTAACTTTGTGAGGCAAGTAATCTTTACTTTCGAATGAAATGCAATCACCTTTACTATTACGTACCTGAGTCTAGTTCGGCTTGAATTCCTTGTATACTTGAAATTAAATCACTTAAGGTTTTCGTTGTTTGCTGTTCCAGTGAGTTAAATTTCGATAAAACTTTGTCGACTTCTCTTTCAACAGCTTGACAAGCATCCATTGTTTTCCTTCAGTAGCGATCCCGCACAAAAATTTCGTACTAGTCTGATTGGTGTAAAGTTTATACACTGGCACGGGCGCAGTATAAACGGTCCAACATCTCGCTAGATAGCTGTGGGCCAGAATGGTTACAATAATGCTGAAATAGATAATCCTGAAGTAGGAAGGGCTAACGAGGCATTGATTTAAGTATTACCGTTTCTACATGCCCGTTTTAGTAAATGTCATTATAATCTTTGAGCAGCTTTTTAAATTGAAAGTTGTAGATCTATTTTAATTGAAATTATGACCGAAGGAAATCTTCAAAAACTCACCATGTAAATAAAATTGTGTTTAAAGGGCAATCTAATCCTCGTTTCCAAGAATAAATTCATCAAAAGGTGTAAAAGGCAAGTTTCAGCGAAGTTAACAGGTGCTTTTTAAGTCAATGCAGACTAGGCTTTTCAGGCCTTTTTATGAACCGATCTTTTAATTTCTGATCACTTTCAGAATAATCAAAACTTATAATTACCAAATAATTAAGCGTGGTAATCAGATCACAAGTCTTTATTTACTTTTTTCAACATACCATACATTTACAGGACAGTTTGTGTCGACAGAACGTGCACAAAATAAAAACAAACACTTTTTAGATCGTTTTACCATTGCTTTACTAAGGTCTTAGCTTTCTAATTTGCATAGGGCCTATAATATAATTTGGCAAAATACAATATGAATATCCGCTCTCAAATCTTGTAAGATCTAATTCTAAGCTAATTTTGTAAAACAAACACTACAGATTAAAATGCACTGCCTAATGTTCTATTCAAAATGCATACATGTGAAATGCGCAATCGCTTCTCCAATACGACGAAATTCAACTTGACAAATGTATGTACAGTAGGCCTACTAATCGTTAATACTACTTAAAAACAGAGATAGAAACAATACTCAAACATATCATTACAATTCAAAATCCGCTTTTTTGATGCTTTTGACGCAGAGTTGGCCTACCATCTTAACCGGACTTGTGCAGAAGTTATTTAGAGTTTAGGTATACAGGTAACAGCTAGCACCGTTTTCTTCTTTGATACTTGAGTAGATTACCTATTTTTAACAAATGTCTTAGGCAGTTTCCTTCTTCACATCAGCCCGCTCTGTGGAATCATCTTTCACTTTCGGCTCTTGGTCAGAGGCCATCTGTGATCTGTAATGATCGACCTGTAGGTATGGATACCCCGGGTAGCACACAGCGTACGGGTTGTGAAATCCCCCTGGTCCGAACATCCCTACTGGTTGTGGGTTCCAAGCGGCAGGCGAAGGCTGAGTAACCATACCACACCCGGGCATGACAGACTGCGGATACTGGTGGTACGACCACGGTGGCATGACGGTGGGATAAGGTTCAGCCGTAGGCACTGATGACGGCGGTGGCGTTGGTGGAGTAGGAGGAGGGGTATGCGTTTTATCTTGGGATGGTATGCGAACGTCAGGCAATTCTGGTCCACAGCTATCTAGCGTGATGTTGGGGCGAGTTAGGGCACTCAATATCACTTCTTTCTTCTGTCGGCGTTTCTCTTTGCTGCGGCGATTCTGAAACCAGTTTTTGATCTGGAAAAATACATTAAACAAAAATCACATGTAGATACACAGTGAGTTCAGATGATCATGTATAATTTAAAGTAAACATTAAATGAAAAATTAAAAATTTTATAAGATACCTGGGTCTCGTTAAGTTCCAGCTTTTCTGCCAGCAATTTGCGTTCATCTGTATTGCAGTACTGGCTTTTAAGGAAACTCTTTTCGAGTTCTTGTATTTGGGATGTAGAAAAACAGACTCTTCGTCCTCTGGTATAGGGCCCTGTTCGTTGGGTCATGGCACTACCCAGACTGGCAACTGGACCCACGTTAGACACTGAGGGCCCATGAGGAGATTCGCCACCTAAACATATACAGATAATTTTTTGTACAATTTATATTATAAAACGATAAAGCTCCCAATTAAAAGTACCTGATGTCAAAATTTCCTATAAATGTACAAAAAGACTTGGGGATCAAAACGTCACTGGAAACACTAAGAACTTAATTATTTAGTTAAAATGATATAAAACATAGAATCCAAGAGCTGGGATGAGTCAAGCAATGAGTAGGAAGAAATTACTTCCTTCGAGGAAAATTCTATTTGGCCGGAAAATCCCGGATAGTACACCTTATATTTTTCTAACGCCAAATATCGCCACTTTGTCCTTCAGCTTTCTACATTTTTTCTCTGAGTGAAAATAAATATATATATAAAATATTGCATCATGCATATATCCGTACTACCGTCTCCCCTTGGTTCTGGGGTTGGCGCGGCACCCGTGCTACTATCTGGCTCTCCGGGACTTTCATTATCGTTCGGACCTTTGTACGGGCGCTTTCGCACTGGAAGGGTATAATACGGCCTCACCCAAGGACCGGCGGAGTACGAGTGTCCCATGGGCGGGGCACCCTGGAGCTGTTGTGGCAGATACGCGAAGCTGCCATGGTACCCCGCTTTTGGCAATTGGTAATCGTTTGCAGAGTTTCCATAGTTGGGGAACGGATTTGCCGTCTGGTGGGGCTGGTACAGGTTGAAATCAGCATAAAGGTTGGTGTGGCACACAGGGTGTGAATGTTCGTGTGTTGTCAAGGGCAAGACAGTTCTGGGGCCTGTGGGATTAGTGCTGGATGGCGCGTTATTTGACGTTACGTTCGATTGCTGAGAATATTTTCCTACATCTCCGCCGCCACCGCTGTGCGCTTGCGGTGGCATTGGACCAAGAGGCTGGGCAAGGTCCAAGAAATTTTGATAATAGTTCCATCTGCTACTTCCCTCAAGATCAGCGTTGGTGTCGTTGTTGGCAGTGACGTTTTCAGAGGCCAAGTTTCGTTTTTGTCCACTTGTCGCACTCCCTGGACAAGATTCGTTTCCTATGGACAGGTCCTTAGGTTTTTCTTTGTCATCATCACCCGTCTGGGGATTTTCTGGGCGGGGATCGTCCAGCCCGTCAGGTTGTTCACCAGAACCACAGGAAGACCCACTCATATCAAACGTACTTGGACTTATGCTATCGACGTCTACCTCGAGGAGCTTACCCACTGAGAAAGGTGGACTACTATGGTCACTAAACTGTTCACATAAACTGAGGTTGTCTAACACTTCCATTCGTGCGTTAAGTTGCGTCTTGTGACAGGGATCCGATACACGTTTTGATTGCTGGGGATTGCTTACATCAGTTATTACCCACTAATCTGGGGTGTATTACTTCCTTCTATATGGTAGTTAGAAAGTGAACAGTTTTAACATCGAAGGGCAGGTCCATTTTCATAGGGAGGGGGCAAGGAAGATACTTTTTTCTTTTGTGACAATGTTAATTAAATCACCAGCCGCATCACCCAAGATTTTATAATAAACTTCTATGGATACAGGGAAGGGGGCACAAAGCATTGGATCCTAGTGGATTTATCTTGGACGCAAATAAGTACTGCAAATAACCCTAATAATTAGTACCATGTTTTCTTATTTCTTTTTTACGCAGCCAAAAATTGAGACTGAGAGGTCTCCGTTCTGTCATGATACCGCTCACTTTAGTGCTTGCCATTAGCATTGCAAACATTTTTCTGACTTTTATTAATATCTGTGCTTGTTTTGTGTGAGGGGGGGGGGTGAGTGTTTCGTCTGCCTTTGGACAAAAAAATAAAAAAAAAAAGAAAGAAAGAAAAAAAAAAAAAGGAAACGTTTTTTCAACCTTCCTTCATCCCCTAAAATACCCGACCACAATCATTGACAGACAGCTCTCGTTTGATGGCCAGTAAAGTACCCTGAATTTTGTATTCTCGCAGCCGATCTTGTCAAGCGGGTGAGGGTGAGGAGCGGGTGGAGGATACTGGTTTCCTGTGTTTTACAAAAGAATTTTAGATCATAAGTTGGTCTTTACTTTTAACTCAAACTCACTTGCCTGCTTCCCCAGATAAATCAGTTGTAGTCCAAATAAATTAAATAATGCGCCTGTTTTACAGGTATATAAAGATTTTCACCTTTTTAAATACCTCAGAATATCTATTGTTTGTTTTATTAGACTATTACGGATTTTGAGTCGACCAACATTTAGGCATTAGGGTTGAAATCAACTTTTCATTAACAGTTTCTTTTTTTTTTTTTTGAAACCTGCCTCTGCTGCGATGTAAGAGGAAAATTGTTTCCAATTAAGGCCACACTTTTTTAATTTTATGGATGACATCCTGCGCGCGCACCGATTTTCGTCCGTTCTCCAAAAAANGGGATCGTCCAGCCCGTCAGGTTGTTCACCAGAACCACAGGAAGACCCACTCATATCAAACGTACTTGGACTTATGCTATCGACGTCTACCTCGAGGAGCTTACCCACTGAGAAAGGTGGACTACTATGGTCACTAAACTGTTCACATAAACTGAGGTTGTCTAACACTTCCATTCGTGCGTTAAGTTGCGTCTTGTGACAGGGATCCGACACACGTTTTGATTGCTGGGGATTGCTTACATCAGTTATTACCCACTAATCTGGGGTGTATTACTTCCTTCTATATGGTAGTTAGAAAGTGAACAGTTTTAACATCGAAGGGCAGGTCCATTTTCATAGGGAGGGGGCAAGGAAGATACTTTTTTCTTTTGTGACAATGTTAATTAAATCACCAGCCGCATCACCCAAGATTTTATAATAAACTTCTATGGATACAGGGAAGGGGGCACAAAGCATTGGATCCTAGTGGATTTATCTTGGACGCAAATAAGTACTGCAAATAACCCTAATAATTAGTACCATGTTTTCTTATTTCTTTTTTACGCAGCCAAAAATTGAGACTGAGAGGTCTCCGTTCTGTCATGATACCGCTCACTTTAGTGCTTGCCATTAACATTGCAAACATTTTTCTGACTTTTATTAATATCTGTGCTTGTTTTGTGTGAGGGGGGGGGGTGAGTGTTTCGTCTGCCTTTGGACAAAAAAAAAAAAGAAAGAAAGAAAGAAAGAAAAAAAAAGGAAACGTTTTGTCAACCTTCCTTCATCCCCTAAAATACCCGACCACAATCATTGACAGACAGCTCTCGTTTGATGGCCAGTAAAGTACCCTGAATTTTGTATTCTCGCAGCCGATCTTGTCAAGCGGGTGAGGGTGAGGAGCGGGTGGAGGATACTGGTTTCCTGTGTTTTACAAAAGAATTTTAGATCATAAGTTGGTCTTTACTTTTAACTCAAACTCACTTGCCTGCTTCCCCAGATAAATCAGTTGTAGTCCAAATAAATTAAATAATGCGCCTGTTTTACAGGTATATAAAGATTTTCACCTTTTTAAATACCTCAGAATATCTATTGTTTGTTTTATTAGACTATTACCAGGGGCGGATCCAGAGATATTTTCTGACAGTCTTCCAAATTATCTTTGTTAATCCATCCTCCATTTTTGACCGTCTTCCGACAGAAAACCTTAGATACCCGTCAATGTAAACTTAAAAATCTGACCGTCTTCCGAAAGACCCAGAAGACGGCCTAAATCCGCCCCTGATTACGGATTTTGAGTCGACCAACATTTAGGCATTAGGGTTGAAATCAACTTTTCATTAACAGTTTCTTTTTTTTTTTGAAACCTGCCTCTGCTGCGATGTAAGAGGAAAATTGTTTCCAATTAAACATGATCACCTGCATCACTGCTGTCACTCAGGGTACAAAATGAGAAACAGTGCTCGTAAATAGTCTTTCATCAGACAGCATTGCAGTTGGTACTTAACATGTCTCAAGCGTGATATTGTTGAGGCGCATCGCCATGTACATGTGGTACGAAAGTTCTTTGACTTAGGTATTTGCTGGTCCAAAAGGAACTTATTATTTTTCGGATCAATGAGAAATTATAAATAGCTTTTGGACTGACATGTCGCATCCTTCAGCTGCATAACTTTGATAAATATTAAAAAGTACATTACCAGTTATGAGTTTATAAGGGAGAAGTCACACGTGTCCGTGGAAGAACTTTCCGTCACTTGACACTGTCACAGCAAATAATTGCCTTGCACATATTATTAATGTACTGGTTTTGCCATCATTGTTTGTCAGATAACAGCCAAATCAACATACATTTTTTTCAGTGGATCATGATCATATTTCAGAAATGTTTCACCAGTTATAATTTTGGTCATTATTGTACTACAGTACAAGCATTAAAAGGGTTGTATTAGTGCATGGCCTTTCCCACTTTAGAAATACATACATGTACTGAACATCAGTTAACTGATATGTGCCATTTCATTTTGTGAATTTATTTTTCTTGAGAATCCTGTATATCACAGTGTTGGTTTGCTATTTCCAAATTTTTCTTACCTATATTCATATATGTACATCATTTGTATTTATAACATGAAGGGTGATTTTAAAATATATTAACATCAGGAATGACAAAAGAAAACAGTTTATTTACATCATCCATTTTACAGTCAAGGTTGATGATCCAAAGACATCCTCAAATAACAGTAATAATAACCAGGGTCACATAATATCATTTTATTATCACAGTCAGAACATGACATCTCTGAGAATACTTTATCTAATACCCGATTCAAAAGCTAAAATACATAGGACAACACCACGTTTACTTTCTCATTTCTAAAATGATATTTACGAATCTGAAAGTCAGATGTAAAAATTCAACTTTGCGAGAGCACAAAATAACATATAAACCACCTTCGGTAGTGCAGAAAGTTTTTAAAATGAATCACTGATATCCTAAGTCTTCCAATAATATGGATATTACCATTTTAAATTATACTCTGTACATTAAATGAATTAAATTTGCATCCACTAATATCACTCACAGCAGACTGAAGTTCAGCATCTTAATACTCTTGTCAAGAGCTACATACATGAATTTAGAGTCAAATAACAAAGAAAACACTGGGCTGCTGTCTCTTGAAGTGTAATACATCTGGAAACAAAAGAAAAAAGAATTATGTATTAGAAATTACAGATATATTAAATAGGTTACCTTATACCAGTTCAGATAATAAACAATGTAGAGCAATCAGACTGTTTATAAAAAAAACATTAAATCACTTACATCCAAATTAAAATGTTTCTCCTTGTTGCCAGACACCGATATTGGTTCTGCAAATCATATGGTGCTCACCTGAACTGGTCTGGTCATCCGTTTGTCCCACAGTCTAACCATTCCGTACCGTGCAGTCCCAGCCAAGATGGAATTATACCCATCACTTCTAATACAATAGATAGCTGAATCATAGGGCTCTTCCCACTCTGCCACACTGGAAAGTAATACAGATAAAGAAATAAGAATTCATGCCTGTTCAGTTTATACCATATTTTGTTGCCTAGAGGGATTGTATACACATTTTTTGGCTAAAAAATACAGTTATTATCAGATCTTCCAGGGATCCTCATTAATCTTAAGAGTTTTAAATAAATGAGAAAAAAATCCCTCTTCTGGGCAGGAGAAAGTTATTTCATTACTAAAATGGGATGTACCATGTCTTTGAAAACATACACAGTGTATCCTATAAACAGAAAAGATTATTAACATCAATCCAACATACTGTTTCTGTAATATACACCAGTAAACAACTGACATACCAACTCTCTGTCCTGGTGTCCCATAAACGTATGTATGTGTCATACCCACAGGATAGCAGCTCATTAGGGGACTCAAACTGGACGTCTTTAGCACCTGCTCCTTTACGGTGATTAGTGTGCATCAGACAGGACAGGTGTCCACTGAAAGGGCAGATGACAAGAACCAGTGACAAACCAATGAATCAACACATGTAGTGTACAGCTTGAGACGTGATAAAAACTTTACAAGTGGTATTTACGCTGAAATAGAGCCATACTTATTTGTAGTTACACCGAAATAGAGCCATTCTACTTTGATTGCAAATATATTCTTAAACCTTTATTGTTTTAGTTTTAATACTTTCACATATGTATTTTGTACTATTTGTTTATTATGCAGATGCAAAGCTTTCTCCAACTCACGTGTTCATGTCCCACAGTCTCAAAGGAGATACATGCCCACAACCAGCTGTGCCACTGACAAATGTCCTAGAAAGAACAACAAAGAACACACATGACATTAAGCTAAAGTACAAGCAACAAGATACATTTAAATGATAACTATCATTGCAATGATGACAATATCTCTGAAGGACAGTTTAAATTGAAATCTGAAAATAACTAATTTATGATATCTGAATATAAGTAGCATTACC